TTCTAAACAATTTCAAAGAATATTTTGAATTCCAATAATATCAGCACTAACCAGAACTAGAACTGAACTAGGGCTGAATTAGAACTAAAAAAGAATTGAACTGAACCAGAACTGAAGTAAAACTGAACTAGACTTGAAATAGAGCTGAACTTGAACTGAAATAGAACTAAACAAGAACTGAACAGAACTAGAATAAAACTAGAACTGAACTTAGTTAATGAACTAATTTATCATAGCCTATTTTAGTATATTAGCTTATCTAATGAATCATCCAATTATGAAAATAGTGAAAACTGGGATCACTCATAGTTCCCACCAAAAAAAATTTTTTATGAAAAATCATAGATCGTCTTTACTTAAATAACGTCCCAATTAACTAAGTAGTGAAAGTGTGCGATCACTCTTATTTCGCACCAATCTAAAATTGGATGTAGATTCTTTGAAAACACTCCAACTGAGAAAAAAGTGAAAATCTGTGATCATTTATATTCCACCAAAAGTCAATTTCTATATGAAAAATCTAAAATTTAATTCAAAACTGCATTCTGAAGCCGATATCCTAAGGGCTCAAGAGGAATAATTAAGGGCTCAATGACAGCACTGTAGAGAGCTAATTTAACATTTCGAACTAGAAATGATTACATATATACATACTTGCAAAAATTTAATTTGATTCCCACCTGACATTACGCCCTTTAAATATAACGTAGGATTAGACTTTATCTTTTGAATATTAAAATGTGGGCGATGTATGTAAATAAATAAGTATGTTAATTTATGAATTTAATTACATATATTTGACATACATACCTGCTGAATTAATTATTCCTTTATTATTAATTTGATGTGTATTAACTAATTGATTACTTTAACTATAATCATTGATTTAAATTAGTTTATATTTAATTTTATATATGTATACATATGTACACATATCTATTTATATACATACATAGATACACATTTACATTTTATTAGTATTTATATTGCGCATTTTAAATCTGTATTTACTTAAAAGATTTTTAATTTGCATTTAAATGATTTTCTATTACATACTTTTTTATATACACTTTTTATTTCACTTTTGAATTTTTTATTTCCATTCATAATTTAACATCTTTTCTTTTTATTTATCAACAGCTATCGCCTGCACTTACTTTACACATCACTAGTGATAAACAAAAAACACACACCACTAATAACAAAATGAAAATTTGCCAATTTCTTTTCTTACATTTTCGACCAAACTTTACACAAATATTTCTCCTTTATTTTCTCACTTTCCATAAATATTTTAACATACTAACAAACTACACACTTTTATTAATAGTTTTATGCACTTTTATTCAAAAAATAATACTTTTTAATAAAGAAATTAATTAATTTGCAACAGCGTATTGCAAACACAAGCTCCGCTTATTAAGGATAGAAGAAAACTGAAGTAAATAAAAAAGTTTGTTATTGTAGGCAATGTTGCATTTTTGAGGCTTAAATTGTTTAATACTAAATGGTAAGTGTCTTCGCTAAGCTACTTATGATAGCAAAGGCATTTTAATTGGAGAAATGCCCATTTAAGTAGTTAGTTTTAGGTTGCTGAAAAATGAAAAATTATTTGAATATCTGCGAAAGGGTTATTGTTAAATGGTGGTGTTTTATTTTTTATAATGAACTAAATATTTTTGTTGTTAGAATTAGCAGAGACAAGCCTCAATTTTTTTCAGAACTGCAATAAATGGGGCATTATTTTTCGATTATTGGAAAGTTCTAAAAGTAAAAATTGTAGACAATTGTGTGGGTCAACGAATATGTATGTATTTTGAATTTTAATATGTAATCACATCACTTACCAGAACTAGAACTAATCTAGAACTATGTATGTACAACTAAACTAAAACTGAACTAGAACTGAACTAGAACTGAACTAGAACTGAACTAGAACTGAACTAGAACTAACTAGAACTGAACTAGAACTGAACTAGAACTGAACTAGAACTGAACTAGAACTGAACTAGAACTGAACTAGAACTGAACTAGAACTGAACTAGAACTGAACTAGAACTGAACTAGAACTGAACTAGAACTGAACTAGAACTGAACTAGAACTGAACTAGAACTGAACTAGAACTGAACTAGAACTGAACTAGAACTGAACTAGAACTGAACTAGAACTGAACTAGAACTGAACTAGAACTGAACTAGAACTGAACTAGAACTGAACTAGAACTGAACTAGAACTGAACTAGAACTGAACTAGAACTAAACTAGAACTGAACTAGAACTGAACTAGAACTGAACTAGAACTGAACTCGAACTGAACTAGAACTGAACTAGAACTGAACTAGAACTGAACTAGAACTGAACTAAAACTGAACTAGAACTGAACTAGAACTTAGAACTAAACGAACTGAACTAGAACTGAACTAGAACTGAACTAGAACTGAACTAGAACTGAACTAGAACTGAACTATAGAACTGAACTAGAACTGAACTATAACTGAACTAGAACTGAACTAGAACTGAACTAGAACTGAACTAGACTGAACTAGAACTGAACTAGAACTGAACTATAACTGAACTAGAACTGAACTAGAACTGAACTAGAACTGAACTAGAACTGAACGAGAACTGAACTAGAACTGAACTAGAACTGAACTAGAACTGAACTAGAAACTGAACTAGAACTGAACTAGAACTGAACTAGAACTGAACTAGAACTGAACTAGAACTGAACTAGAACGAACTGAGAACTGAATCTAAGAACTGCAACTAGAACTGAAACTAGAACTGAACTAGAACTGAACTAGAAACTGAAACTAGAACTGAACTAGAACTGAACTAGAACTGAACTAGAACTGAAACTGAAACTGAAACTAGAACTGAACTAGAACTGAACTAGAACTGAACTAGAACTATAACTAGAACTGAACAACTAGAAACTGAACTAGAACTGAACTAGAACTGAACTAGAACTTGAACTAGAACGAACTAGAACTAGAACTGAACTAGAACTGAACTAGAACTGAACTAGAACTGAACTAGAACTGAACTAGAACTGAACTAGAACTGAACTAGAACTGAACTAGAACTGAACTAGAACTGAACTAGAACTGAACTAGAACTGAACTAGAACTGAACTAGAACTGAACTAGAACTGAACTAGAACTGAACTAGAACTGAACTAGAACTGAACTAGAACTGAACTAGAACTGAACTAGAACTGAACTAGAACTGAACTAGAACTGAACTAGAACTGAACTAGAACTGAACTAGAACTGAACTAGAACTGAACTAGAACTGAACTAGAACTGAACTAGAACTGAACTAGAACTGAACTAGAACTGAACTAGAACTGAACTAGAACTGAACTAGAACTGAACTAGAACTGAACTAGAACTGAACTAGAAACTGAACTAGAACTGAACTAGAACTGAACTAGAACTGAACTAGAACTGAACTAGAACTGAACTAGAACTGAACTAGAACTGAACTAGAACTGAACTAGAACTGAACTAGAACTGAACTAGAACTGAACTAGAACTGAACTAGAACTGAACTGAACTGAACTAGAACTGAACTAGAACTGAACTAGAACTGAACTAGAACTGAACTAGAACTGAACTAGTAGAACTGAACTAGAACTGAACTAGAACTGAACTAGAACTGAACTAGAACTGAACTAGAACTGAACTAGAACTGAACTAGAACTGAACTAGAACTGAACTAGAACTGAACTAGAACTGAACTAGAACTGAACTAGAACTGAACTAGAACTGAACTAGAACTGAACTAGAACTGAACTAGAACTGAACTAGAACTGAACTAGAACTAGAACTGAACTAGAACTGAACTAGAATTGAACTAGAATTGAACTAGAACTGAACTAGAACTGAACTAGAACTGAACTAGAACTGAACTAGAACTGAACTAGAACTGAACTAGAACTGAACTAGAACTGAACTAGAACTGAACTAGAACTGAACTAGAACTGAACTAGAACTGAACTAGAACTGAACTAGAAACTGAACTAGAACTGAACTAGAACTGAACTAGAACTGAACTAAACTGAACTAGAACTGAACTAGAACTGAACTAGAACTGAACTAGAACTGAACTAGAACTGAACTAGAACTGAACTAGAACTGAACTAGAACTGAACTAGAACTGAACTAGAACTGAACTTAAACTTGACTATAACTATGTAAAATATAGAATAATAAATTCCCCATCCCTGAATTATTATTATGTATTTTATTTTTATTAAAAACTATTATAAAATGATATTCTTTGAAATTTTTAAATATTTCCAGCCAGTGTACGACCCTTCGTTTATACTTCCATACCGATGGTATTGAGGCACCCACCGATATCGATAATCGTGGCTTCTGTTTGGATTATGTTCACAACCCTGTACAAATGGTTTCTAAAAACCCTTTAAAAAATTTTTTTTTACCTAAATTAAACTTTATAAAATACTTTTATTTTTAATAAGTTTTTATATTTATTTAAATAATTATAAGTTTTCGTAATAATTATTGAAATTATTTTTTGATATAGTTTCTATAAAGTAGTAAATAGTTTTTGTTTAAATTAATTTAATATACAGTATAATTAAAAATAAATTATATATTTTTTATATTATTATAAATATAATTAAGATTTTTACTTTAAATTTTTTTGTAATATTTTTGGTTTAAAAAAAAATGAAGAAAATAAAAAATTTATTAAAAAAAATTAAATAAAAACTCAACAAAACAAATTAACTTGTATATATTTATAAATATATAAGCTTAATATTTTTATTTTTTAACAAAATTACTTATGAATTAAAATACTTAAATGAAATTATTGAATTTTAATAAAAAAAAATGAAAACAAAACATAAAAATTGAAAATAATAAAATCTCATTAGGAATAATTCTTTAAAACTAAAACTTTTCTTTTGTTTTTTATAATTTATACATTTTGAAATCTTTTTTTTCGATTTCTTAATCGTTGTTTTAAAAGTTTTACATTTTTATCGTATTTTTTCTAGTTTATTTTCAAACTGGTTATTGTTTTTTCTTCTTTTCAATTCCTGTATCCACCTTTTGTTTATAGTTTTGAAACCATTTATATAAATCCTTTTTTGCTTGAGATCGTCTTTAAATTGTGGTTAGCTTATTTTTTCCAACTTTGATTTTCAAAATTTTTCCGTATTCAGTCTGCTGTTGATTTTAGCATCAGTTGTTTTAATAAATATTTAGCAAAATCTTTTAAAAATCAGTCAATTTGTTTTAAAAATTCTTAATAGGTTTTTATTAAAGCTGCTACTTGTAGTTTTTCTTCTTCGGTTAAACCGTTCTTAAGAGTACGACGCACTGGAATGGAATAAAGTTGGAAATAAATAAGTTTTTTTATAATAAAAACTTTTTTTCAATATTTAACAGAACTGTGCAAATTGTTATAAAAATTCAAATTGTTATTATAAAATTCTTAGAGTAGAAAAGCTGTTAATTTTCTTAATTTAGTTTGTAAAAAATATTTAAGGAAAAATTTGATTACAACATGCATTTGTTAAGTCTTAAGTCCAGACAATAGTCCTGTCTATAGTCCAGACTGTAGTCCTGTCTATAGTCTATACTATAGTCCTGTCTAATTTCCAGACTATTGTCCTGTCTATAGTCCAGACTATAGTCTTGTCTATAGTCCAGACTATAGTCTTGTCTATAGTCCAGACTATAGTCTTGTCTATAGTCCAGACTATAGTCTTGTCTATAGTCCAGACTATAGTCTTGTCTATAGTCCAGACTATAGTCTTGTCTATAGTCCAGACTATAGTCTTGTCTATAGTCCAGACTATAGACTTGTCTATAGTCCAGACTACAGTCTTGTCTATAGTCCAGACTATAGTCTTGTCTATAGTCCAGACTATAGTCTTGTCTATAGTCTTGTCTATAGTCCAGACTATAGTCTTGTCTATAGTCCAGACTATAGTCTTGTCTATAGTCCAGACTATAGTCTTGTCTATAGTCCAGACTATAGTCTTGTCTATAGTCCTGATTATAGTCTTGTCTATAGTCCTGATTATAGTCTTGTCTATAGTCCAGACAATAGTCTTGTCTATAGTCCAGACTATAGTCTTGTCTATAGTCCAGACTATAGTCTTGTCTATAGTCCAGACTATAGTCTTGTCTATAGTCCAGACTATAGTCTTGTCTATAGTCCAGACTATAGTCTTGTCTATAGTCCAGACTATTGTCATGTCTATAGTCCAGACTATAGTCATGTCTATAGTCCAGACTATAGTCATGTCTATAGTCCAGACTATAGTCATGTCTATAGTCCAGACTATAGTCTTGCCTTTAGTCCAGACTATAGTCTTGTCTATAGTCCAGACTATAGTCTTGTCTATAGTCCAGACTATAGTCTTGTCTATAGTCCAGACTATAGTCTTGTCTATAGTCCAGACTATAGTCTTGTCTATAGTCCAGACTATAGTCTTGTCTATAGTCCAGACTATAGTCTTGTCTATAGTCCAGACTATAGTCTTGTCTATAGTCTTGTCTATAGTCTTGTCTATAGTCTTGTCTATAGTCTTGTCTATAGTCTTGTCTATAGTCCAGACTATAGTCTTGTCTATAGTCCAGACTATAGTCTTGTCTATAGTCCAGACTATAGTCTTGTCTATAGTCCAGACTATAGTCTTGTCTATAGTCCAGACTATAGTCTTGTCTATAGTCTTGTCTATAGTCCAGACTATAGTCTTGTCTATAGTCCAGACTATAGTCTTGTCTATAGTCCAGACTATAGTCTTGTCTATAGTCCAGACTATAGTCTTGTCTATAGTCCAGACTATAGTCTTGTCTATAGTCCTGATTATAGTCTTGTCTATAGTCCAGACAATAGTCTTGTCTATAGTCCAGACTATAGTCTTGTCTATAGTCCAGACTATAGTCTTGTCTATAGTCCAGACTATAGTCTTGTCTATAGTCCAGACTATAGTCTTGTCTATAGTCCAGACTATACTCATGTCTATAGTCCAGACTATAGTCATGTCTATAGTCCAGACTATAGTCTTGCCTATAGTCCAGACTATAGTCTTGTCTATAGTCCAGACTATAGTCTTGTCTATAGTCCAGACTATAGTCTTGTCTATAGTCCAGACTATAGTCTTGTCTATAGTCCAGACTATAGTCATGTCTATAGTCCAGACTATAGTCTTGTCTATAGTCCAGACTATAGTCTTGTCTATAGTCCAGACTATAGTCTTGTCTATAGTCCAGACTATTATCTTGTCTATAGTCCAGACTATAGTGCAAACTATAGTTCAGACTATAGTCTTGTCTATAGTCCAGACTATTATCTTATCTATAGTCCAGACTATTGTCTTGTCTGTAGTCCAGACTATAGTGCAAACTATAGTCCAGACTATAGTCTTGTCTATAATCCAGACTATAGTCTTGTCTATAGTTCCGACTACAGTCTTGCCTATAGATTAGACTATAGTCTTGTCAATATTCCAGACTAAAGTCTTGTTTATATTCCAAACTATAGTCTTGACTATATTTCAGACTATAGTCTTGTGTATAGTCCAGACTATAGTCCACACGATAGAATTGTGTATAGATTAGACTATAGTATTGTCTATAGTCTTGACTATAGATTATACTAGTAGTTCAGACTATAGTACTGTTTATAGTCCAGACTATAGTCTTGTCTATAGTCCCAACTATAGTCTTGTCTATAGTCCCAACTATAGTCCAGACTATAGTCTTGTCTATAGTCCCAACTATAGTCTTGTCTATAGACCCAACTATAGTCCAGTCTATAGTCTTGTCTATAGTCCAGAATATAATCTTGTCTACAGTCCCGACTATAGTCTTGTCTATTGTCCTGACTATAGTCTTGTCTATAATCCATACTATATTCTAATCTATACTTCAGACTATAGTCTTATCTATACTCCAGACTATAGTATTGTCTTTAGTCCAGACTATGTCTTGTCTATAGTCCAGACTATAGTTTTGTCTATAGTCCAAACTATAGTCTTGTCTATAATCCATACTATATTCTAATCTATACTCCAGACTATAGTCTTATCTATACTCCAGACTATAGTCTTGTCTATGGTCCAGACTATAGTCTTGTCTATAGTCCAGACTATGGTCTTTTCTATAGTCCAGACTATAACCTGGTCTATGGTCTTGTCTATAGGCCCGACTATAGTCTTGACTATAGTCATTTCTATAGTCCAGACTATAGTCATTTCTATAGTCTAGACTATGTCTTGTCTATAGTCCAGACTATGTCTAGACTATGTCTTGTCTATAGTCCAGACTATGTCTTGTCTATAGTCCAGACTATAGTCTTGTCTATAGACCAGTCTATAGTCTTGTCTATAGTCCAGATTATAGTCTTGTTTATAGTCCAGACTATAGTCTTGTTTATAGTCCAGACTATAGCCTTGCTTATAGTAGAGCCTATAGTCTTGTCTATAGTACAGACTATATCTTGTCTGTAGTCCAAACTATAGCCTTGTCTATAGTCCAAATTATAGTATTGTTTATTCTAGCCTTTAGTCCAGATTATAGTATAGTCGTGTGCGGTCTATAGTTGTGTCTATATTCTGGTCTGTAGAAAAAAAGTGGTTCGAAAATGGATCTCTCTTTAACATTTCCTAAAATTGAAACAAATTACATGCAATAAATAAAACCATTTAAAAAATTTACTTCGCATTCGTTAAGAATCAAAACGGGTTTTCTTAAATTTAAATAAAATACAAAAATATAAACCAAAAGCAATTAAAAACTCATGCAAAAATTTACACAAAAAACAAACAATAAATATGAAGAAAAAAAATTTTTATAAAAAAACAAAATCCACTAACCATTAAAAAACTAAAATAAAATTATATTTATGAATAATTGAGACGAAAAAAACGTTTTTCTATTGGCAACACACTCTAAAAAAATCTATGGTGATGGAACTCTTTCAACTGTAAATCCTTCGCGGGTACGTGAACGCTTCACTTCAGTTAAATGAATTTTCCAATTGGTTTTTTGGGGGGGTCGGGGGAACATATTATGAGTATGATGAAAATGGTCGTTTTTTAAGGAAATTAGTATTATGAAGTTTTGTATTAAAACATTTATGATAAAGTTAAAATTCCCCATAGAAATATTAAAAAAATATTAGAAAGGAAATAGTGAATGACAAGAGAGTTCAGTTAGAATAATCAATGGATATTGAAGCCAATGTTGTGAAATGAAAAGGAAATAAAAAAATAGAAAACAAAATTAAAAATAAATTAAAAACATTAAGGTTAAATAAATTAATACTTAAAGAAAATAAAAACACCATTAACTCAACAACAAGTTTAAAGTTTTCAAAAACTTAACCAGTTACTGAGATAATGGGCGTTATTATATCGATTTAAATTGTAGTTAAATTGACAAATAGATAAAAGTAATCACAGCAGAAAATTGATTAAGGATTTAATTTAAAATTATTTCGAATTTGGAATTATCTGCTGTGATTGTTATATAAAAACACAAAAAATTACTTTTTTTAACATGTTTTCTAGTAAATTTTGATAATTTTTATAAAAATTGGAAATATTTTTTTTTTTTTTTTAATTTATTGAGTTCTAATCTTGAGAGTGTTGTGTATTGAAAAAATTAAAACCTAAAGTGTGATAAAAATAAAAAAATAATGAAATTATATTCGTTTAAAAAACCATCACCCAAATTAAGAAATATTTATAAAATTTATTTAAATCGTACTATAAAAAGTAAAGAAAATATAAAACTTACATGATTTTCTATCAGCATGACGAGTACGTTTACGTTCTCTGGGTGTTGTTCTAGTGCCGGGGGCTTTGGTGGCGGTTTTAACTAAAGACTCTAAGATTTCATCATCACCATCGGTGAAATTCTCTTCGCTTTGTCGCAAAACGGGTGAACGTAAATTTTCGGCACGTCGACGTCGCCAGGTTAAAGTACCATCGGGTGTATCGGCATTGGGTGTGCCCAAAAGGGATCTGTAGGGAAATTATAGAGTATTAAAATTAATTTACATTTACAAAATTTCAGTATATCTGTAGTCAAGACTATATAGTCCAGTTACGATTCGACACTATAGTCTTCTATATAGTTCAGACTACAAACTATATAGACTATAGCCGGATCCATTGTTCAAACTATAATCTTGTCAATAGTCCATACTACTGTCTTGCTATAGTCTTCCCATAGTCCAAACCATAATCTTGTCTGTAGGCTAGACTATAGTCTTGTCTATAGTCCATACTATACTCTTGTTTATAGTTCCGGCTATAGTCTTGTCTATAGTCCAGACTATTGTCTTTTTTATAGTCCAGACTATAGTCTTGTCTATAGTCCAGACTATAGTCTTGTCTATAGTTCAGACTATAGTCTTGTCTATAGTCCAGACTATAGTCTTGTCTATAGTCCAGACTGTAGTCTTGTCTATATTTCAGACTATAGTCTTGTCTATAGGCCAGACTATAGTCTTGTCTACAGTCCAGACTATAGTCTTGTCTATAGTCCAGACTATAATCTTGTCTATAGTCCAGACTATAGTCTTGTCTATAGTCCACCAGACTATAGTCTTGTCTATAGTCCACCAGACTATAGTCTTGTCTATAGTCCAGACTATAGACAAGACTATAGTCTGGACTATAGACAAGACTATAGTCTGGACTATAGACAAGACTATAGTCTGGACTGTAGACAAGACTATAGTCTATAGACAAGACTATAGTCTGGACTATAGTCTTGTCTATAGTCCAGACTATAGTCTTGTCTATAGTCTTGTCTATAGTCCAGACTATAGTCTTGTCTATAGTCCAGACTATAGTCTTGTCTATAGTCTTGTCTATAGTCTTGTCTATAGTCCAGACTATAGTCTTGTCTATAGTCTTGTCTATAGTCCAGACTATAGTCTTGTCTATAGTCTTGTCTATAGTCCAGACTATAGTCTTGTCTATAGTCTTGTCTATAGTCCAGACTAAAGTCTTGTCTATAGTCCAGGCTATAGTTTTGTTTATAGTCCAAACTATAGTCTTGCCTATAGTCCAGACTATAGTCTTGCCTCTAGTCCAGACTATAGTCTTGTCTATGGTCAAGACTATAGTCTTGTCTATAGTCCAGACTATAGTCTTGTCTATAGTCCAGACTATAGTCTTGTCTATAGTCCAGACTATAGTCTTGTCTATGGTCCAGACTATAGTCTTGTCTATAGTCCAGACTATAGTCTTGTCTATAGTCCAGACTATAGTCTTATCTATAGTCTAGACTATAGTCTTGTCTATACTCCAGACTATAGTCTTATCTATAGTCTAGACTATAGTCTTGTCTATAGTCCAGACTATAGTCTTGTTTATAGTCCAGACTATAGTCTTGTCTATAGTCCAGACTATAGTCTTGTCTATAGTTCAGACTATAGTCTTGTCTATAGTTCAGACTATAGTCTTGTCTATAGTCCAGTCTATAGTCCAGACAAAAGTATTGTCTATAGTCCAGACTATAGTCTTGTCTACAGTCCAGACTATAGTCTTGTCTATAGTCCAGACTATAGTCTTATCTATAGTATCGTTTATTATCAAGAATATAGTCTTGTCTAAAGCGCAGACTATATTTTTATCTAAGGTCCAGATTAGTCTATAGTCTAGTCTATAGTCTTACCTATAGTCCACATATTAGTTTTATCTATAGCCTAGACTCTACAGTCTTATCTGAGACTAAAGTTTTGTCTGTAGTCCAGTCTATATTTCAGACTATAGTCTAGTCTATTGTCCAGACTATATATTTCCAGACTATAATATTGTCTACAGTCCATACTATAGTCTAGTATGTAGTCCAGACTATAGTCTTGTCTATAATCCAGACCATGATTTATTGTTCTACTCACTTTAATTCAGCATCTTGTTTATCTTCTTTGGTTTTAAATTTGGCAATATCAACAATCAATTTGCCTCTAGTCTTATTTCTTTCTCTATGATTGGCTTTCTTTTCGATTTGCTGTTGAACTCTTTCCCTAGTGGTGCGATATTCCAAAGCAAATTCGGAAACAATGCGACAGAATTCATTAGGTCTAGAATCGGCTACACTATGTTGAGGCACGCCCAACCACAATAAAAATTTGCGGTATCTAGAACAAAAACAAAAGAAATAAAATATAATTAAAATTTTCCGATGAGATCCCTATAAAACCCTAGCTTACCTATTCATAATTCTGCGGTGAACAACTTGTAGAATAATAATTCTCTCAGCACAATCAGCCAAAAAGTCTACCAATTTCTGTTTCAACTGAGGTGGACAATCGTGTTTAGCTATTAACTTCAAACGATCCCAAGAAGCTTTGCATTCATGTTCCAATTGAGATAGATTATGAGCCAAATCATTAAAATCTGCTTTTGAGGCTCTGGTAATGGGACCAATTTCGGAATATAAATCGGTAGTTTCATTACCGGACTCCATGACCATGTGACACAGATGATGTAGTAGTGAATGTTTATGCACGGTATCTTTAACCTCGGGAACCTAGATTGCATGATATAGAGTTATTTGCAGTTTGTTTAAGATGCTGAAATAGTTATGTTACCTTTGATAAGTATTCAATTTGGAAGCCTTTAACGGGAGCACCATTTAAAAATATGCCCACCGATAGCAAAGTGGACAAAATACATTTGAATGTACGATTATTTTTAAGAATTTCAATGCCCTGTTTTAGGTCCATTAAAGGTTCAGCAATTTCTTTCTGAAAAATATAAAAAAGAAACAAAATTAATGTATTTTCAAAGTATTTAATGGCCGAATCCTATGAAAAATTCTAAAAAAGGACAACAAATTTCGGAACATCATTAAATTATTTTCAAGTCGTTCAACCAGAGATTACAAGAATGGATCTTCTTACCTCACTATTATCAAAATCTAAACGGAATGCCCATAATCTTAACCTAGCTGCCAATTCGGAGATTGAGGCCAAAGTTAATAAGAATTGTTCAGCACTGCCCAAAGGCAATTCTGGATTAGCCATCTGAAAAACACATCCAAGATTATTCAATAAATTTAAAAATTTTACTTTCACAAAGGTTCCAATTACTTGACGATAATTACTTACCTGAGCTTCTTGTATTTTACCCTTCTCCTCGTCAGTGGGTAACATATTCAACAACTTGTCGATACCCTCTCGGGTCACCACAGTAGCATCCATTTTCAAAATAGCCGCCTTAATGGCTCGCGGTGGTGGCAATTTTGTCATTGCAATATTAATAGCATTCGATCGTTTATGATCTAGTACAATGACTTCTTTGCTTTTATTCATTTCTTGTTGTTTCTGTAAGTTGGTTTAAGAAAATGCCGTTTTATAATAAAGTTTAGTTTTTGATTAATGAATAGGTATGAGATTTTAAAATGGATATAAAGCAATTGGTAAAAAAACATTAAACATTATAGCAACAATGTGGTTCTAAAGTGTAAATGTTGAAATGGTTGTATTTGTAGTATATAAGTAGGAATGAAAGAAACCAGGGGAAAAATAAAAGAATAACTGAAATTGTATGAGGTATACATATTACCAACCCAGTCATTATTTGATTTTTAGCCAAACAAGGAACTATTGATGTTACTGATGTGATTTTTTTAACTATTATTAAATCCGATAATGGCGGTATCCCACACCGATAATGAAAATATCATGTTATCTATAGTAATAATATCTAAGTCCAGTACAATATTCATAGTACAATATTTTCTATAGTCCAAATTATAGTTAAAATTTCGAATAATTTATTATAAGTCTTGTCTATAGACCAGACTATTTTCTGTTTCGACTACCTGTAAATAGACAAAATTCCATATAATCTTGTTTATAGTCTCGACCAACTGTCGATTGGATTTTGTTTCGGTTATAGTCTTGGCTTTTGTCCCGACTAAAGTGTTGACTATAATGTCTTCTATTGTCTTATCTACAGTATCCTCTATATTCTTATTTGTAGTCCAGACAAAGTCCCTAGTTTTGTCCAAACTATAATTTTCTGACTATGGACTTGTCTACAGTTCTAACTATAGACTTGTCTATAGTTCTGGTTATAGTCTTGTCTCAAGTTATGACTACAATCTTGTCTGCAGTCCACACAATAATCTTATTTTAAATCCAGACTATTATCTATACCCACAACTATAGTTTTGTCTATAGTTCAGTATAGTCTATTCTATAGTTCAGGCTACATAGTCTTGTCTATAATTCAGTATAGTATTTTCTAAAGTTCCGACTATAGTCTTGTCTATAGACCAGACTTTAGTCTTGTCCATAGTCCAGAATATAGTCTTGTCTATAGTCCAGAATATAGTATTGTCTACAGTCCAGAATATAGTCTTGTTTATAGTCCAGAATATAGTCTTGTCTATAGTCCAGACTATAGTCTTGTCTATAGTCCAGACTATAGTCTTGTCTATAGTCCAGACTATAGTCTTGCCTATAGTGCAGGCTACAGTCCAGGCTATAGTCTTGTCTATAGTCTTGTTTACAGTCCAGACTATAGTATTGTCTATAGTCCAGAATATAGTCTTATATATAGTCCAGAATATAGTATTGTTTATAGTCCAGAATATAGTCTTGTTTATAGTCCAGAAAATAGTCTTGTTTATAGTCCAACCTTTAGTCTTTTCTATAGCCCAGACTATAGTCTTGCCTATAGACCAGACTATAGTCTTGCCTATAGTCCAGACTATAGTCATGTCTATAGTCCAGAATATAGTCCAGACTATAGTCATGTCTATAGTCCAGACTATAGTCTAGACTATAGTCCAGACTATAGTTTTGTCTATAGTCCAGATTATAGTTTCGTCTATAGTCCAGACTATAGTCTCGTCTATAGTCCAAACTATAGTCTTGTCAATAGTCTAGACTATAGTCTTGTCTTTAGTCCAGAATATAGTATATGTCTATAGTCGTGTCAATAGTTCAGACTATAGTCTTGTCTGTAGTCAGATTATGGTATCTATAGTCTCGACTATAATCTTGCCTATAGTATTGTCTTTATTTCGGACAGTAGTATTTTCTTTAGACCTGCCAGTTGATATAACTGTAGTCCACCCTAAGGTCTTGTCTAAAGTTCTGGCAATAGTCTTACTCTGGAAATGATCTTTTGCCACTTACAAATATTTTTCATAATTCAAACTTTTCATGAGATATGACTTTATACCGATGAATAACTAATGATAGGTAATTCCTTAATTAGAATTTATAGTTCGATCGATTGACCCATGCAAAATTAATTTTAGATACAAAAGTTTTCTATTATACTACTTTTAAATTATGGGCTAAAATATGATATGATCCTCTTAAATCAAATTTTTCTATACTTATATAAACTATAATAGAAATAATTTTGAAAAATTATGTGGTAGAGATGACAGATATCAAAATACCCTGGATCCTAAAAAGTATCACAATTTTTTTACGTTTGGATAGGAAATGGTACTAAGTAGCTAGTTTTCAGCAGATATCTCATTATAGTATTTGTTTGAAAATTGTGTATAGTTTTTAGGAACAAATATGTAATAACAAATTTACAAAAAAAAATGAATTATACAATAAGGAACGAAATGAAAAACATTTAACAAATATTTAATCAAAACATAAAAATCAACAATAGGTGTGACCGGTTTAAGTTAACAATATACTATACTAATACTGAAGCAAGTAAGAGAACATAATTAAAGGGTTCAGAGTGTTGAACTTATAAAATTCTTAAAATTTTTTTTCATTTCATATTTTAACAAAAGTTTTTATTTTTAAAACCAAAAACCAAGTGCAAAATAGTTCATGTGTTTATATGAGTGTGTGTGCAAAGTATTTTTTTAAATAAATAACATAAAACCAACACCAATAAATGAAAACATTTAAACAATTTAACAAAAATTATGAGTTTATAATTTATATTTTCTTTTTGAATTTGAAATTGCACTCACCTCCTAAAGGAGTTTTTTTTTAGAAAAAACATTTAACAAATATAATATTCAATTTATTATTATTATTTTAAGAAGATTGAGTTTTAATTTTTTTTGTTTTAGAATAATAATAAATAATAAACATAGAAACATTCCGTTGGTAGGCACAAATTAAAAATACAGAGAAAAAAAGAAAGAATACATTAATATTTTGAAAACATATAGTATTTGACAGTTATAAATTTTAAAATTAAAAGATTTAAATAAAAAAATATAACCAGCAAAATTTTATATTTCGAATTTCGGAATGGAAACTTGTTCGTTCATAATCTTGCTGTCTACACTTTTTTGTTTAATTTAAAAAACCTTAGGCCGAATTTGTTAACAATAAACATACAAATTAGTCATTGCTTTTTGTCTTCTAAAAAGTAATTTCATTAATGTATTCAAAATTGGGCTGTGCGATATAAGGGGTCATAGCGGACTCTCTAGATATATAAATAACAGGCATTTAAAAATTTCTGATTAAATTAAGGGTCATAGAGGAATCTATCAAAAAACGAAACTGGGTTTACAAATTTCTGATCAAATTAGGGGTCCAATAAGATCTTTTGTATTTGGTATTAATTAAAGGTACATATAAAATAAAATTGGAAACAATTTTACAAAATAACTATAGGACTAGACTATAGACTAGATTATAGACTAGATATAGACTAGACTATAGAATAGACTAAAGACTAGACTATAGACTACACTATTGACTAGACTATGGACTAGACTAGGACTAGACTATAGACTAGACTATAGACTAGACTATAGACTAGACTATAGACTAGACTATAGACTAGACTATAGACTAGACTATAGACTAGACTATAGACTAGACTATAGACTAGACTATAGACTAGACTATAGACTAGACTATAGACTAGACTATAGACTAGACTATAGACTAGACTATAGACTAGACTATAACTAGACTATAGCGACTATAGACTAGACTATAGGACTAGACTATAGACTAGACTATAGACTAGACTATAGACTAGACTATAGACTAGACTATAGACTAGACTATAGACTAGACTATAGACTAGACTATAGACTAGACTATAGACTAGACTATAGACTAGACTATAGACTAGACTATAGACTAGACTAATAGACTAGACTATAGACTAGACTATAGACTAGACTATAGACTAGACTATAGACTAGACTATAGACTAGACTATAGACTATACTATAGACTAGACTATAGACTAGACTATAGACTAGACTATAGACTAGACTATAGACTAGACTATAGACTAGACTATAGACTAGACTATAGACTAGACTATAGACTAGACATAGACTAGACATAGACTAGACTATAGACTATAGACTAGACCTATAGACTAGACTATAGAACTAGAACTATAGACTAGACTATAGACTAGACTATAGACTAGACTATAGACTAGACATAGACTAGACTATAGACTAGACTATAGACTAGACTATAGACTAGACTATAGACTAGACTATAGACTAGACTATAGACTAGACATAGACTAGACGATAGACTAGACTATAGACTAGACTATAGACTAGACTATAGACTAGACTATAGACTAGACTATAGACTAGACTATAGACTAGACTATAGACTAGACTATACTAGACTATAGACTAGACTATAGACTAGACTATAGACTAGACTATAGACTAGACTATAGACTAGACTATAGACTAGACTAGATAGACTAGTAGACTATAGACCTAGACTATAGACTAGACTATAGACTAGACTATAGACTAGACTATAGACTAGACTATAGACTAGACTATAGACTAACTATAGACTAGACTATAGACTAGACTATAGACTAGACTATAGACTAGACTATAGACTAGACTATAGACTAGACTATAGACTAGACTATAGACTAGACTATAAGACTAGACGATAGACTAGACTATAGACTAGACTATAGACTAGACTATAGACTAGACTATAGACTAGACTATAGACTAGACTATAGACTAGACTATAGACTAGACTATAGACTAGACTATAGACTAGACTATAGACTAGACTATAGACTAGACTATAGACTAGACTATAGACTAGACTATAGACTAGACTATAGACTAGACTATAGACTAGACTATAGACTAGACTATAGACTAGACTATAGACTAGACTATAGACTAGACTATAGACTAGACTATAGACTAGACTATAGACTAGACTATAGACTAGACTATAGACTAGACTATAGACTAGACTATAGACTAGACTATAGACTAGACTATAGACTAGACTATAGACTAGACTATAGACTAGACTATAGACTAGACTATAGACTAGACTATAGACTAGACTATAGACTAGACTATAGACGTAGACTAGAGACTAGACTATAGACTAGACTATAGACTAGACTATAGACTAGAACTATAGACTAGACTATAGACTAGACTATAGACTAGACTTAGACTAGACTATAGACTAGACTATAGACTAGACTATAGACTAGACTATAGACTAGACTATAGACTAGACTATAGACTAGACTATAGACTAGACTATAGACTAGACTATAGACTAGACTATAGACTAGACTATAGACTAGACTATAGACTAGACTATAGACTAGACTATAGACTAGACTATAGACTAGACTATAGACTAGACTATAGACTAGACTATAGACTAGACTAATAGACTAGACTGATAGACTAGACTATAGACTAGACTATAGACTAGACTATAGACTAGACTATAGACTAGACTATAGACTAGACTATAGACTAGACTATAGACTAGACTATAGACTAGACTATAGACTAGACTATAGACTAGACTATAGACTAGACTATAGACTAGACTGTAGACTAGACTATAGACTAGACTATAGACTAGACTATAGACTAGACTATAGACTAGACTATAGACTAGACTATAAACTAGACTATAGACTAGACTATAGACTAGACTATAGACTAGACTAGACTAGACTATAGACTAGACTATAGACTAGACTATAGACTAGACTATAGACTAGACTATAGACTAGACTATAGACTAGACTATAGACTAGACTATAGACTAGACTATAGACTAGACTATAGACTAGACTATAGACTAGACTATAGACTAGACTATAGACTAGACTATAGACTAGACTATAGACTAGACTATAGACTAGACTATAGACTAGACTATAGACTAGACTATAGACTAGACTATAGACTAGACTATAGACTAGACTATAGACTAGACTATAGACTAGACTATAGACTAGACTATAGACTAGACTATAGACTAGACTATAGACTAGACTATAGACTAGACTATAGACTAGACTATAGACTAGACTATAGACTAGACTATAGACTAGACTATAGACTAGACTATAGACTAGACTATAGACTAGACTATAGACTAGACTATAGACTAGACTATAGACTAGACTATAGACTAGACTATAGACTAGACTATAGACTAGACTATAGACTAGACTATAGACTAGACTATAGACTAGACTATAGACTAGACTATAGACTAGACTATAGACTAGACTATAGACTAGACTATAGACTAGACTATAGACTAGACTATAGACTAGACTATAGACTAGACTATAGACTAGACTATAGACTAGACTATAGACTAGATAGACTATAGACTAGACTATAGACTAGACTATAGACTAGACTATAGACTAGACTATAGACTAGACTATAGACTAGACTATAGACTAGACTATAGACTAGACTATAGACTAGACTATAGACTAGACTATAGACTAGACTATAGACTAGACTATAGACTAGACTATAGACTAGACTATAGACTAGACTATAGACTAGACTATAGACTAGACTATAGACTAGACTATAGACTAGACTATAGACTAGACTATAGACTAGACTATAGACTAGACTATAGACTAGACTATAGACTAGACTATAGACTAGACTATGACTAGACTATAGAGTAGACTATAGACTAGACTATAAACTAGACATAGACTAGACTATAGACTAGACTATAGACTAGACTATAGACTAGACTATAGACTAGACTATAGAGCTAGACTATAGACTAGACTATAGAACTAGACTATAGACTAGACTATAGACTAGACTATAGACTAGACTATAGGACTAGACTATAGACTAGACTATAGACTAGACTATAGACTAGACTATAGACTAGACTATAGACTAGGACTATAGACTAGACTATAGACTAGACTATAGACTAGACTATAGACTAGACTAGACTAGACTATAGATAGCTATAGACTAGACTGTCGACTAGACTATAGACTAGACTATAGACTAGACTATAGACTAGACTATAGACTAGACTATAGACTAGACTATAGACTAGACTATAGACTAGACTATAGACTAGACTATAGACTAGACTATAGACTAGACTATAGACTAGACTATAGACTAGACTATAGACTAGACTATAGACTAGACTATAGACTAGACTATAGACTAGACTATAGACTAGACTATAGACTAGACTATAGACTAGACTGTAGACTAGACTATAGACTAGACTATAGTCTATGATAAAGACTTTACAATAGACTATACTAAAGATTAAAGGATATTAGACAGACCTAATAAAAAAACTTAATTTACAACCTAAAATGCTTCTATGTTCTTTTCTCGGTTTATTTGTGTTTTATTAAATTCAGATTTCAATAAAATATTCAATAGCCCAAAGCGATATTTTTGTTTAAGTAGAAAGAAAAATTATAATCAACTTTAAACCAAAACTAGCCCTATAATATTTAGCCGTTAGATAGATAGCAGTTTAGTAAATCACATACATAAGTTAAAAGGCTCTCTTTGCATGTATCGCACAGCCCTTAAATTAGCATTATAAGTACCTATAAATTGTATTAAAAAAAACTTACCTTTGTCATTAAATCTTTGGCTCGGGACTCGAACAAATGTTCTAATTTTTGTGTATCAACATTGGCGGCCGGTAATTCATCCCAAATAGTTTTACCCACAGATACGGGTATTAGATCTTCTCTAACCTCTTTCCAAAAGAGTTTGACCTAAGAAAATATTAAGTAAAATAAATCTCTACTATTTCGATAACTTCTGCTATAACTTACCGTTTTCTTATTTTTCTTAATCGTATTCATACTACTCATATCACCATTTATCGAACCATTCATGGAACTATTAAAACTATTCGTTAGACTGGCATTACCATAACCACTATAACTAAACATGGGTGGTGGTATAAGAGCACCACTACCATTACTAGTATTTGACATGGACATGGGATGATTCATGGGTGGTGGACACACTAAATGTGTAGGCATCATGGGTGGTGGTAGCGCCACACCTCCTATTGGGGGAGGCGGTGGTGGTATGCCTCTGCCAAAGCCTCTAGGAGCTAATATATCCTTTTCGTCTTCCGAGTTCAAATCGGTAAAGTCGAGATCACACAAATTGAGTGGTCTTGAAATGTTGCGTACCAATTCTTCCCATTGTAGATCGTTTTCGGATTTTTTCGGTTCGGGTTTTTTGATTTCCTGATCGACACTAGAGGATCTGAAAGGAAAGGTTAATGAAGATTTGATTAAAATATTTTAGAATTTTGGAGAAAAGAATAGAGACCAAATTTGACTAGAAAGTTCAACACGAAATCGCCGTAAGACTATAGGCCAGACTATAGTCAATACTTTAGACCAGACAATATTCACACTATAGGCGAGAGGATGTCGGACTATAGTCAAGACCATAGGACTATGACAGACTATAGTCTAGTCTATATGATAGACTATAGGCCAGACTATAGTTAAGACTGTAGTCAAAACTATAGTCCAGACTATAGTAAAGTCTATAGGCCAGACTATAGTAATGACTATAGGCCAGAATATTGTCAAGACTATAGGACAGAATAGTGTCAAGACTATAGGCCAGAATATTGCCAAGACAATAGGCCAGACTATAGTCAAGACTTTAGGTCAGACTATAGTAAAAACTATAGGCCAGAATATTGTCAAGACAATAGGCCAGACTATAGTCAAGACTATAGGCCAGACTATAGTATAGTCTATATGACAGACTATTGTGAAGACTATAGGCCAGGTTATAGTCAAGTCTATAGGCCAGACTGATGCCCAACCTATAGACAATACTATAGGCCAGACTATAAGACAGACTATAGTCAAGACTATAAGCCAGACAATAGTCAAGACTCTAGGCCAGACTATAGTCAAGACTAAATGCCAGACTATAGTCAATACTATAAGCCAGACTATAGACCAAATTATAGTCAAGACTATAGTCAAGATTATAGGCCAGTTTATAGTCAAGAATATTGTCAAGACTCTAGGCCAGTATAAAGAGAAAAATATAGTCAAGACTATAGCACACACTTTAGGCGATGTTATAGTTAAGACTATAATAGGCCAGACTATATTGAAGATCATAGGCCTGACTATAGTTTCTAGTTTTTACAGATTTTCTTAAACTTGAATAAAAAAACGTTAAATTAATTTATTAAATAATAAAACAACAATTTATTTCACAATAAAAAAAGGGGAAATGGATGGATAGAGACCAAATTTGACTAGAACTTTCAAGCTATACATCGCCTTAAGCATATTGAGGAGCATATTTCTCATAGGCAGCAACATAAGCAGCCTTAGCAGCATCTTGGCTCATGCCCTTGTTGGCATTCCAGGCGGTCCATTTGGCGGAACCCTTAACATCAACAGCACTGGGCTTTTGGATATTGCAATCACCAGCAGTGGCTTGTTTATAGAGACCATAGAATTCCAAGAAGACCTCATTTGGAGGATTCTTGGTGAAAGACTTGGCTTTTTCGGAGGCGGTGGCAAACTTTAAGATATAATTTAATAAATTAAAAATTCTTTAAAATTTTTTGTTAATATAAAATACTCACATCCATTTTTATGTTTAGTTTAGATGTTACTTAGTTGGGTTCAACGAAAGTACTATGTTTACACTGCTAAAAAATTGCTAATTTATAGCAAAATTTTTCACCAAATGCAATTTCACATTTTTTATTAGTAATTCATTATATTTTTTATAAAAGTATATAATGTTTAAACTTTATTATTTAATAGATTATAACAAAAGTGCCCCCCAGATAAAGTATTATAAAATATAGATAATCGTAACAGAATTTGATAAAAAAAAGGGGAAAAGGTTAAACTGCATTTCAGCTAAAAATAGGTTTATTTGATATACAACGGTAAAAAATGCTAAAATTTAGATTTCATTTTAATAAACTGCCAAAATAGTTTTCTATTGAGATTGATAAGATTTTTTTACCCACCATCAAAAAAGATGGGGGGTATATTGATTTTGTCATTCCGTTTGTAACACATAGAAATATTGGTCATAGACCCACAAAAGTATATATATTCTGGGTCCTCATTAAATTCTAAGACGATCTAGCCATGTCTGTCCGTCTGTCCGTTCGTCTGTCTGTCTGTTGAAAGCACGATAAAGTCTGAATGGAAGGAGCTAGAGGGTTGAAATTTCACATAAATATTTCTTATAGGTAAGGTTTGTTTGGTATTGAAAATGGGCAATATCGGTCCACGTTTTCGGATAGCCCCCATACAAGTGGCCCCTCGAAAAGCAGCTTTAACAGCCATAACTTGTTTAAAAATACGAATATAGCGATGAAATTCGACATAAGTAAGTTTCTTATGATCCAAAATCAATATGCGAAATTTTATGAGGATCGGTCCATAATTGACCTTATCCCTCATATAAGGTCCCCTTCAGAAAATGACTTTAACGCTCATTACTGGCTTAAAAATACTAGTATATAGATGAAATTCGACATAAGTAAATTTCATACGAGTCAAAATCTATCTAAAAAATTTTATGAGGATCGGTCCATGATTGACCCTACCCCCCATATAAGGTCCCCTTCAGAAAATGACTGCAACGCTTATTAATGGTTTAAAAATACGAGTGTAGCGATGAAATTCGACACAAATAAATTTAATACGAACCAAATTCTATCTATCAAATTTTATGAAGATCGACCCATAATTGACCCTACCCCCCTATATATGGTCCCCTTCAGAAAATTACTTTAACGCTTATAACTGGCCTAAATATACGAGTATATAGATGAAATTCGACATAAGTAAGTTTCAAACGAGGTTTGATGGTGGGTATATAAGATTCGGCATAGCCGAATATAACACTCTTACTTGTTTTATCTTAACTTTATAACAGTTTGATATTTATGTGAGACTGCTTGGGGCTGCTAAGGAAACGTGACTACGAACAAGTAGCTGAAATATGTGGGTGACACACTATTAAGTTAATTGAAAAAAGATTTCACACCATCATTAACCAATTTTCGATGATTTTATTGATCACTGCAAATAAGTAGTAGAGCACTGAAAAGATCACAAAACTTTCTAAGGGAAGTAGATCGCTGGTAAGATCTGTAGACAACTGTAACTGTGACGCTGTAACGATCAGCTCATATTTTCCATAACAATATAGATCGCAGGAGAGATAAACGAACAATTTTTAATAAAAAGTAGATCGCTGAAGGGAACAGTCAACCGTTTTTTATATAAAAAAGATCGCTATAAAGATCAACTAATTTGTTTTATACTAAGTATATTGCTGATGAATTAAGCTCAATATCTCGCAGGAGAAATCAACTTATTCAGATTACTGGAACAAGTAGATCACAGTACGATCAGCCCACAACATCTTATAGATCTCATGAGTGATCAGCTCATAATATTCCATAAAAAGTGGATTGATGGAAAGATTAGCAGATATAGGAAGTGGATCGCTAAAACGATCAGCTCACACTTTCCTGCACGATAAAAATTAGATCGCTTTTTCCATAAAAAGTGGATTGATGGAAAGATAAGTTCATATAGGAAGTGGATCGCTTAAAAGGATCAGCTCACACTTTCCTGCACGATCGCTGAAAAGATCAACTATTTCGCTGAAGAATAGAGCTCAATATTTCCTAGAGGAAAAATATCTCACAGTAAAAGATCGCAGGAGAGATCATGATGAGTTGATCTCCCAATAGATCGCTGGAATAAGTAGCTCACAGTAGTAGATCATATGAGACATCTGCTAATCGTTTTCCATAAAAAGTGGAACGTTGGAAAGATTAGCTCATATAGGAAATAGATCGCTGAAACGATCAGCTCTCACTTACTTGCACGATATACATGGTAGTTCGCAGGAGAGAACAACTAACAATTTCTAGTAGCTTACAGTACGATCACCCTTATGCTATAGATCGCATGAGAGATTTGGGATTAAAATTTTAAAATTAAAATCATTTCTTCTATAAATTTTTCAGAATTTTCTCTTAAATTATCACCTATTTTTTTTGAGTGTATGTATAATTGCATACACAAGTTTATTTTTATAAAAATTTCAATAACTCATAAAAATAAGTTTCAATGTATTTCCTTTACTAAATTTTCAAATTTTTTATAGCAAGTTTGTCGAAATAATAATGATGATGACAATATATTTATTACTTTCTTGCCTACATAGAATAAAAACGCTTGCATTGTATATATACAAGTACATATTCGAAAACCTGATAAGCCTTAGCAGGGCCACATGTCTTTAGGCTAAAAGTCGTTATTGGAACTACCACCGCCTTCTGCAGAGATAAGAGAATTGGTAACCACCGGTTTATTGAAATGCCGGTGTAAACTTGCGAATGTTTTATAGGTAGATATGTGTATATTTATTTTAGATTTGAGTTTGATAAGATTTTGATTAGACTAATTGGAAGCAATTAAATGACAGTAGTTGATAAATATTAAAAAAAAGCTTAAAAGAGAAGTTAGGTTATTATAACCTACAGTGAGTTTTAAAAGAAAGTTTTTTTGATTAAAATTCTTATGGAATAAATTATTTAATTTCTGATGAATATAGGAGATCTATAGGAGAAAATCAGCTGCTAAAAAGAATAATAGAACTGATAAAATCTTAAAGAAAATATTTTGTGAAAAAAATAAAGATCATTACTTTCTGATGATCATTTTCTAAAGCAAATAGATTGCTGAGGAGTTTATCTCAAAATCTCTTAAAGAAAAGAGACCTCTTAAAATGTCTATAAGAAACACATTACCGATAATTTCAAAGAAATATATTTGACACCAAAGAGTTTATAATTTTTTTTTCAATAACATCCGTTGTCAAAGTAAAAACATACGTACGACAACACTATGTAATGTTGACAACGCAACGTTGTCGTTCTATTCGTTGTCGAAATATAAACTTTATACACATCCGTTGTCTAAATGTTAACAAACGTGGTAAGCTAACTATTGGCAACGGATTGTTTGTCAATAGTGAGCCTACAACGTTTGTTAACATTTAGACAACGGATGTGTATAAAATTTAGATTTCGACAACGAATTGTTACAATGTTGTTAACATTACATAGTGTTGTTGTACGTATGTATATATTTTGACAACGGATGGTATTGAAAAATTATAAACAGTTTGGTGTCAATTTGGTAACATGGGATTCCACCCGGTATTTACCCGGCAGTTGGAAAAATTTTGGGTAAATACGATTTTAAATCAGCTCAAAATTCTCTATAGCCGTCATTTACAAAAGAGGAGAAAATCAAGATGATCGTTAAAGAGATCGTATCACAATTGTAAACAGTTTCTTATAGGATATGTTAGGTAAAACCGATCGTCTCGCTATTTTCCTTAGTAAATAGATCGCTCAAGAGATAGACTCACAATAGAACTAAGAAAAGATCTCACATTTTTGTTAAGGAAATTGACTGCTGGAAAGATCAACTCTCAATTTTCTATAGGAACTACATTCAACGATCGGATGAAACAAACGTAATCTTACTATGCGCATAATAGTAATGTCCATAATTTAATTAAGAAACATTTTGAGCTGATCTGTTTAGCGATCTATTTGAGCTGTTACTCTCAAGTGATCAATAAATTTTGATCAGTTTCCTTAAGGAATTCTTAAAATTCTTAAACCAAAAGGTAAAAAAATTCCTTTCAGATATTATATGAAACCTAATAAATTCTTTAAGGCAGCGGATCGTATAGCATTTAAAGGATTTTTCTTTATGAAATGTTTTGTTGTAAAATTATATTTTAGTAATTTTATTTTTGTTACATTTTATTCAAAATTTTTAATTTTCCTCAAATTATTAGTTCAAAATTTAAGCATATTTGGGAGCATATTTTTGATAGACAGCAATATAGGCCTGTTTGGCGGCATCCTGAGACATACCCTGATGTCTTACCCAGGCATCGTATTTAGCTTTGGCAGTCAAATCTGTTACACCAGGTTTGGCAATGTTGCAATCACCTACAGTGGCTTGTTTGTAGAGACCATAGAATTCCAAAAATTCCTCATTTGTAGGCTTCTTAGTGAAGGCTTTAGCTTTTTCGCAGGCAGTATTGAACTATAGGAAAAGTAAATATTTCATATAAAAGTACGACTTTTTTGGGCCTAGAAATACTTACATCCATTTTGTTTTAAAGTTTTGGACTAATTACTTTGATCTTTACAATTGCAATACAATTTTGAACTGTAGCTACTGCTAAGACTTTCTTGAGTTCTTATAGCATTATTTTCGATTTCTAGAAGTGTTAATAATTCCTGTATTATAGAGTAAAATGTTATCTTTGGATTATCTATTTGATTTATTGGAACTCAATAAATCATTGCATTTCATTAATATGATTTTTATTTCCTAGAGGAAAGCGATCCCTAAAAAGTCGACTCATAGTTTTAAAGGAAAAAGATCGATGCGAAGATCAGTTTTAAATTTCCTATAACTGGGTTATATTTATTCTGTAAAGTGTTAAACAAAATTAAGGAACTTCTTGTACTGTTCATATTGAAAATTTCTACCAATTCGTAGTGCTAAGACTTATGTAATTTGTTCAGCATGATTTCCTAGAACTTATAGCTTTTTAGGTAAATATTTAAAGTCCATTTTATTTTAACCAACAAAATTACCCAACATAAAAATCAAATTTATTAACTTTGTATTTAATGCAATGATTTATTAAGTTACAATAAATCAAATAGATAATCAGGTGATAAGATTTAAACCTATAATACGGCAGCTACTAAAGCTTCTAACAAACGACTATAAAAACTCTAGAAAATCACAGCAAGAGATACAGTTCAAAATTGTCTAACAATAGTAAAGACCAAAGGAATAACTCATATTCAAAATGGATGTAAGTATTTCTGGGTCCAAAAATATATCGAATTTTTAATTCAAATATTTCTATACCTTTAGTTCAACACTGCCTGCGAAAAAGCCAAAGCCTTCACCAAGAAACCCACCAATGAGGAATTTTTGGAATTCTATGGTCTCTATAAACAAGCCACTGTAGGTGATTGCAACATTGCCAAACCTGGTGTAACCGATTTGACTGCCAAAGCTAAATATGATGCCTGGGTAAGACATCAGGGTATGTCTCAGGAGGCCGCCCAACAGGCCTATATTGCTGTCTATCAGAAATATGCTCCCAAATATGCTTAAAATTTCAACTCTTTTTAATGAAAAAAATTTAATAAATTGTTTAAAAATTATTACTACAAAAATTGCAAGTGTTTTTTTTTTAGTGATAAGACATTATCTAGAATTTAAATTAAGTGCAAGCATAATTTGAAAACAAGATAATTAATAAAGAAAATTGGCAAAGTCCATAAAATGTGTTAGAGTCTGATACTATTAAAAGAAGTTTACATTAAAATTCCTTTTGAAAATGTCTATAAATTTAATGAAATAGTAAGAGTTTAAGTTTAAAGCATCAAGCAGTAATTTGATATCAAATCTGATATTTAAAACTATCAGATTTAATTCTTCTAGAGATAGATCAGCTCAAAGTTTCATAAAGATCAATCAATCAATGAAGAGATAAGATCAAAAATTCCAAAAGTTAGGTTATAGCTAAAACTAGCAGCTCGAAATAGTCCAAAGGAAAATGATTATTGAAGAGATCAGCTTCAAATTTTATAAAGAAAAGAGATCAATGATGAAGGTCAAAACTTTTAAAAGTTAAGTGATCGCTAAAAATAGCAGCTCTAAATATTCTCGCTGAAGAGATAAGCTCAAAATTACCTAAAGGAAACTTATCTCTGAATACATAAGCTCTAAATTTCAAAAAGAAAACTAAAGGCAGCATATCATTAGGGAAGTAAGCTAAAAGCAAAGTGATCGTTAAAAACTGATCGCTGCAAAAATGTTCTTAAAAAAAAACTGATCAATGAAGAGGTCCGATCAAAATGTTCGTTATGACTGAACGCTAAAGATAACTCCTAAAGAAATCATATTGCTAAATAGAACGGAATTAAATTTCCAAAAGAAAAGTGATCTCTAAAAAGAATAAGCCCTAAATTTCCTAAACAGAACTGATCGCTGAAGAGATAAGCTCAGCGTTCGCTAAAATGTTCCAAAGGAAAGTGATCGTTAAAACATCAGCTCAGATCAACACAAAATTTCCTAAAGCAAACTGATCGCAGAAAAGATTTTCTTATAAAAAAAAACTGATCGATGAAGAGGTCTGATAAAAATGTTCATTAGGACTGATCGCCGAGGATTATTCCAAAAGAAATCCGATCGCTAAATAGAACTACATTAAATTTCCAAAAGAAAAGTGATCTCTAAAAAGGTTTAAATTTCCTAAACAGAACTGATCGCTAAAGAGATAAGCTCAGCGTTCGCTGAAATGTTCCAAAAAAAGTGATCGCTAAAAAGATCACATCTAAATATCATAAAGGAAATTGATCGCTGAAGAGATCAGATCAACACAAAATCTTCCAAATTAAAGTGATCGTTAAAAAGATTAGCATTAAATTTCCTCACTGAAAAATATGTTCTAAATTCCCTAAAGGAAACTACTCGCTGAAGAAATCAGCACAAAGTGTTTCAAAGGAAAGTGATCGCTAAATAGATCGGATCTACTAAATATCCTAAAGGAAATTGATCTCTGAAGAAATCAAATACAAATTTCTTAAAGGAAACTGATCGTTGAAAAGTTTAGCTCTAAATTTGCCAAAAAAAATGATCGCTGAAGAGTTGAGATAAAAATTTTCTTAAACAAATCGATCGCTAAAGATATCAGCTAAAATTTGAAATGATATGTTCCAAAGGAAAGTGATCGCTAAAAATACCAGAACTAAATATCCGAAACGAAATTGATCGCTGCAGATATCAGATCCATATTAAAGTGATCGCTGAAAAGATTATCTCTAAATATTCTGCTCAAAATGTTTCAAAGGAAAGTGATATCTAAAAAGATCAGATCTAAATATACTAAATGTAATTGATTCCTGAAAAAATCAAATGCAAATTTTTTAAATGAAACTGATCGCTGAAAAGATCAGCTTTAAATTTCCTAAAATAAACTGATCGCTGAGAGGTAAGATACAAATTTTCTTAAACAAATTGAATGCTAAAGAGATCAGTTAAAATTTCAAACGTTGCTAAATAGATCAGAAAAGAACTTGCTCGCTAAAGAAAACTGATCGCTTGATCCACTCAAAATTGCACAAAGGAAACTGATAGCTAGTCATATCAAATGTTTTTCTATTAAAATAATCTTTTAAATTCTAATAACTACGTAAGAACCTTAAAATAATCACTTTTATCGCTTAATAATAATCGATCGCAATTTGAATAAATATGTATTATGAATATCAAATTTGCAGTTTATCAAATTTTTAAAAAAAAGGAAATAAAAACTTATCACAAAAAGCATAGAAGATCATAAACATATAAGAAACAACAACATACTTCCTGATAAGCTAAACAATATCACTAAAGTATATAAATAATTGAATTTGAAACAATTAACCACATATTCATTAACACTTTAGTGTAAACAACAAGTGGTAAGTTAAAAGAAATCTACATTTTTAAAAGCCAATAAATTTTTAAAAATTAATTTTTACATTTCAATTTCCTGCCTGGGGACCTTTCTCTAAACAGAATTTAAGCAAACATGGATGTAAGTTTGAACATATCTGAAATTGATTGATTTTAAAGCAAAAATGTTTCTTTTCTAGTTCGCCACCGCTACCGAAAAAGCCAAGTCTTTCACCAAGACTCCCCCAGATAATGTATTCTTGGAATTCTATGGTCTTTACAAACAAGCCACCGCTGGCGATTGCAACAGCGATAAACCCGGTGTTTTGGACTTGAAGAACAAGGCCAAATGGGAAGCCTGGAACAGCCATAAGGGCATGAGTCAAGATGCTGCCAAGGCTGCTTATATTGCTGCCTATGAGAAATATGCTCCTCTTTATGCTTAAATTATGGATTAGACTTCTTTTTTAATGACTAGGACCCTGTAAATATGTGATAAATAAAATAATTGTTCTAAAACTACACACTCACCTTGACATTTCGCCTTTACTTTTACTCTTTGCCAGACCCTCTTTCGCTTTCGATATTAAGCCCGACATATCGCCAACAATACGGTTTTGTAATTTATCATCCTGTGTAGGACTTGTGGGTAAATTACATAGTTTCTGGGTTAAATCTTTAACAGTGTGATCACGTTTTAGTTGTAGTAACAGTTTTTTATCCTCATTATCGGATTCTAGTGGGAAATCGATAGATAATTAGTTTAAGTTATTGTTTTGGGGGTGGATGGAAATTTAAAACATTTTTTTTTTAATAAATAGTTTATAGAGAAAGTAAAAATAATGTTAAAACATATATTGATGCTGATCGTTAATTAATTGCATTATTAAGCCGCAATATAGTTAAAAATATGAATATGAATGAATTAAAACTTTTAAATATTTTAAAAGGAGACAAATTACAACTGCAAAGACAAGGAAAAGGAGTTTTAATTTCTTTTAAGGCATATCGCCAAATAGATCGGTTCAAATTTCTTATAAGAAGCAGATCACTGCAGATCACCTCATAGTTACCTAAATGAAACAGATCGCTGAAGAGATTAATTCACAATTTCCTGTAGGAAAAAAAATCTTATAGAAACCAGAATGCTGAAATGATATCAGAAACAGATCTCAGATTACCTCTCAATTTTCTCTAAGATACAGATCTTTAAAGAGATTAACTCACAATTTCCTATAGGAAACTCATTGCTGAACATATCGGTGCACAATTGACTATAAGTACCTGATCACCTAAGAGATCAGCTCATAGTTTTCTATCGCAAACAGATTGCTGAAGAGATTAGCTCTCAATTTCCTATAGAATACAGATCTTTAAAGAGATTAACAATTTCCTATGGGAACCTCATCGCTGAACAGATCAGTGCACAATTTACTATAAGTAAGAGATCACCTAAGAGATCAGCTCATAGTTTTCTATCGCAGACAGATTGCTGAAGAGATTAGCTCTCAATTTCCTATAGAATACAGATCTTTAAAGAGATTAACTCACAATTTCCTATGGGAATCTCATCGCTGAACAGATCAGTGCACAATTTACTATAAGTAACAGATCACCTAAGAGATCAGCTCATAGTTTTCTATCGGAAACAGTTTGCTGAAGAGATAGGAAACAGATCTTTAAAGAAATTTACTCATAATTTAGTATAGTAAACTCAGCTGAACAGATCAGATCACAATTTTCTATAAGGAACAGATCGCCTAAGAGATCAACTCACAATTTCCTATAAGAAACTAATCGTATAAGAGATACACTCATAGATCGCGGAAGAAATTTTTTTTATAGGAAACAGTTTGCGGAAGAAATCAACTAGCAATTTCCTATATATAAGATCACTGAACATAGCAGATCACTATTCCCTTTAGAAAATCTGCTCTCAAATTTAGAATTAAGAAATAAATCACTGAAGGGATCAGTAGACAACTTTAGTCCACAAATTTCCTTCATGAAACAGCTCTGGAAATAGATCAGCTAAAAATTTCCTATAGGAAACAGATCAATGATAAGATCAGCTCACTATTTCCTTTGGGAAACAAATCGCTCAAGGGATCTGATTCTATACGAAAAAGATAACTGATGCTATCAGCACTCAATTATCTATACGACAGTTTGAAGTAGAGATCAGTTTAAATTTTACTATAGGAAACAGATCGCTAAAATGATCAGTTAACAATTTCCTTTAGATACTGCATACAATTTTCTATAAGAAATAGAACGCTGAAGAGATCAGCTCTCAAATTACTGAAAAGATCAGTGGACAGTTTCTGCCCACAAATTTGCTTCATGTTTAGGCCAAGGAATGGATCATTTAAAAATTGTCTATAGGGAACAGATCACTGAAAAGATCAGCTAACAATTTCTTTGGGAAACAGATTAGTCAAGGAATCTGCTCACATCGCTGAACAGATCTATGAGATCAGCTAACAATTTCTTTGAGAAACTGATCGCTCAAGGAATCTGCTCACAGTTTTTATAGCAAAGGGCTCGCAGAGTAATAAGCCCACAATTTTCTAAATGAAACAGTTCAAAGATCAGTTAAAATTTGACTATCGCTACAAAGACCAGCTAACAATTTTCTTTAGATATCGGATCGCTAAAGAGATCAACATTCAATTATCTATAAGAAATAGATCGCTGTAGAGATCAGAGAAGAGAAATATAAAGAGAAAATGTGTTTTAAGAAATCCTAAATAAAAACGAGAAGTAAAGAGATAAGATTATAACCTCCCGTCTTTACAATTGTAATTTTTAAATCTCCCCGTTTATTTAACCTAAAAAAAGAACTTACCATTAATTTGTAATAGATCAACAGGTTGATCACTGTTGCTGTTAAGATTATTATTAGTAGTATTTACCGCGTTATTGGCTTGATTGGAATTTGGAATTATATTATTAGTAGTTGTATTTTGATTGTAGCTCATATTGTTGCTGTGTTGGTGGTAAAAATAAGGTGGTGGTGGTGGTGGAGGTGGAGGCGGTGGAGGCATTCGCATATTATTAGCATAACCCCATAAATCTGGTGGTGGAGGTGGCGGAGGTGGAGGCGGTGGTGCCACTGATGTTGTGGTCGTTATTGTGTTATTGTAAGCATTTTGTACAGGATATGAAACTGTAGGTGACATAACGCGCTGTCGTGGTGTTGAAGGGTTACTATATGTTGTTGCTGTTGTTATATTATCCTCCATTGTTGTTGTTGTTGCTGAGGCTTTCACAGGCGTAGTATGGGGTGTAGAGGTTTGAGGTATATAATCAAAACCAGATGCTAAAGTAGGATTAGTCATTGCTGTAGAAGTTGTGGTAGAATTTAAAGTTTTCTTTGGACTTGAATTTAGAGAGGATAAATTGTGTTTTATAGGCGAGGTGGTCGTGGTGGTGGGTGACTGTATAGATTGTTGGTGTTGTAGTTGATTCTTTGGTGTACTATTGTTGATTTGATTGTAGTAGGTGTTCAAACGATTCGCATCATTTTCAAATTTCTTATAATTTACAACATTATCACAGTGATTGGCATGAAGATTCGTTCCATTAACGACTGCAACTCCCTCCAGATTATTTGTCTCTGCGGTGACATTGTGACGTTGAATATTCTTCATGAGGCCATTGATGACAGTGGCATTACGTTCCATGAATAGATTTTTCTTATTGTAAAATTCCGCCGCTGGTGATGTAGCTGCGGTAGCATTAACATGGTGGTTGAGGTGGTGTTGATGATGTTGCAATTTATTTGTATTGGATTTATCAAAGGAATTGTTGATAATTGAAATGGTATTGGTACCCAATAATTGTTTCGTTGGACTCAATAGATTGATGTGATTGTTGTTGTGTGTTGTAGTATTGGAATTGGTAATGATGTGGTGGTTGTTGTGATTGTTGGTTATAAGAGCATTGTTATTGTTAGTAGCATTTGCATTGGCAGTTGCATTGACAATGACATTTAAATTGGCATTAACATTAGAATGATTGATTGTATTGTTATTATTATTATTACTATTGATTTGATAAGAATGTTTGAAATTATTATTATTATTGTGGTTGTTGGTATTGGTGATATGATTGTTGTTATTATTGTAATTGCAATTATTCTCATTTATGATATTTAATGATTCTGGCGGACTGTCGCCATTTTCAATGTCACTGGTATGGCGGTAACAAGTTGTCCTTTTGAACGAGGGGGATTTGATAAGCATTCACATGATTTTTTTTCCGTTAAACGAGCCAATACAAAATTTGTGAAATGACATTTTATTTTGTTTAAATAGGAAAAACAACAACAAAAAAACGGAAACGAAAACAAAACAAAGAAAGAAAAAATGTAGAGTGATTACACATGGATGATATGGCGGTAGAAGGATAAAGGGGTTAAATTATGTTGATTTTTATATAAAATTTTTTGAAAAACCAAAATTAGAATGATTTCTTAAACAACACAAGAGTTATTATATAGTATTTATTGTTTTTTGGGGAGAAAACTTACCCATATCTTCTCTTTTATCGGCCGAATTCATATAACCATTAGCAGCCACCGCTGCAGCAGCTTCCTGTTGCTCTTTAAGGAAACTACGATGTCTCTCGGCTCGTTCACGACGACGTCTGAGACCAGGTGTAACACCAGCACCATCACGGGCTAAAATTGAAAAAAACCACTTAAGAAATTTCCGAAGTTCAACAAATTTCTCTCTACTCACGTTTCTTTTCCGCAAAAACCCCACCACTAAATTCCGCCGAATTCGTTGAACTCGAACTATCCTCATCCAAGGCCGGTTGGGTGGGTGTTAAGCGCATATGAGTGGGTAGGACTTTATTTATATTACCAGGACTAGTGCCCGTGCTATGACGTCTTGATTTTCGACGTTCAGCCGTATCGGTAGAACTGCGAAAACGTTGAGTCTTACGTAAAGTGTTGTCGGGCAGTCGGGTACCATCCGATTCACCGTCTTCAAATCTAAAAAATAGTAATAAATTTAAATAATATTTTATTAAATTTGGAATAAAAAGTATAACCACACTTACTTCAATACTGCTTCATAAAGTTGCAATTGATTTAATAGATCCATATCCGTTCCCGGTTTGGACATATAATGTTGTATCACAGATTCCATACCTTGCTGTTCCAATAAATCACTTTCATCGTAAAAACTATCTTGATCATTTAAACCCTCTAGGGTTTTATTGATAAGCGAAGCAGCATATATTACCAATTCAGCATCGGCATTATCGTAGTCTTTCAAAAGTCTGAAATTTTAAGCAAAAATACGGATTTGAAAAAAATTTCATACATTATTCTTTAGGATCAAAGTTGGAACATATTTAATTTTTCTCTGTTTACAACCGATGATTTACTAGACTACAGACCGGATTATAGACTAGTCCATAAACTAGAATATATACTAAATTATAAACCAGACTATTGACTAGAATAAAGGCAGCACTACAGACTAGACTATAGTTCAGATTTTAGACTAGACTATAGAATAGACTATAAAGTAGACTATAACTAGACTAGACTAGACTAGACTATAGACTAGACTATAGACTAGACTACAGACTAGACTATAGACTAGACTATAGACTAGACTACAGACTAGACTATAGACTAGACTATAGACTAGACTATAGACTAGACTATAGACTAGACTATAGACTAGACTATAGACTAGACTATAGACTAGACTATAGACTAGGCTATAGACTAGACTATAGACTAGACTATAGACTAGACTATAGACTAGACTATAGACTAGACTATAGACTAGACTATAGACTAGACTATAGACTAGACTATAGACTAGACTATAGACTAGACTATAGACTAGACTATAGACTAGACTATAGACTAGACTATAGACTAGACTATAGACTAGACTATAGACTAGACTATAGACTAGACTATAGACTAGACTATAGACTAGACTATAGACTAGACTATAGACTAGACTATAGACTAGACTATAGACTAGACTATAGACTAGACTATAGACTAGACTATAGACTAGACTATAGACTAGACTATAGACTAGACTATAGACTAGACTATAGACTAGACTATAGACTAGACTATAGACTAGACTATAGACTAGACTATAGACTAGACTATAGACTAGACTATAGACTAGACTATAGACTAGACTATAGACTAGACTATAGACTAGACTATAGACTAGACTATAGACTAGACTATAGACTAGACTATAGACTAGACTATAGACTAGACTATAGACTAGACTATAGAAGACTATAGACTAGACTATAGACTAGACTATAGACTAGACTATAGACTAACTATAGACTAGACTATAGACTAGACTAGACTATAGACTAGACTAGACTATAGACTAGACTATAGACTAGACTATAGACTAGACTATAGACTAGACTATAGACTAGACTATAGACTAGACTATAGACTAGACTATAGACTAGACTATAGACTAGACTATAGACTAGACTATAGACTAGACTATAGACTAGACTATAGACTAGACTATAGACTAGACTATAGACTAGACTA